CTTTGTTTTTTTCTTTCTTTTTTTATGTTTCGTTCTTTCTTTTTTTTCATTCTTTCTTTATTTTTCTCTTATTTTTCCTTGAAAATATTTTCTTTTTTCTTTCCTTTTTCCCAACTTTTAAATTTTCTTTTTTTCTGTCTTTCATTCTTTGCTTCCTTTTTTTCTTTTTTCTATCCTTCTATGTTTCTTTTTTCTTTCTTCCTGCCTTTTTTCTTTCTATCTTTTTCTTTTTTTTCTTTCTGTTTTTTCTTTCTTTTTTCTTTCTTTCTTTATTTTGCCTTCCTTTTAATCTTTTTCTACACAATTTCTTCATGTTTTTCTTTCTTTGTTAATTTCGTCTTTCTTGTCTTTCTTTCTTTCTTTCTTTCTTTCTTTCTTTCTTTCATTTTTGTCTTTCTTTCATTCTTTTCTTTCTTTCTTGTCTTTCTTTCTTTCTTTTCTGCCTTGTACACGTTTATCCTCATTTTTCTTTTTTTCTTACATTTTTTTTTCTTCTTTAATTTCATTTATTCTTTCTTCTTTTCTCCTCTCCGGCGTTTTTATTTTCATTCTCCTCTCTCTCTCTCTCTCTCTCTCTCTCTCTCTCTCTCTATTTTTTTCTTTCTGTTATCTTTCTCCTTAGCTGCGACTTCTTTCTGAATCGACGAGCGACAACCCCCCCCCCAAGTCGAACACGCACATAGCATCGTTAACAGGGGCGACCACCTCTCGTCTCCCGGTGTCTCTTTCCCGCACGCACGCACGCCCGCACGCACGTGATCACACAGGCACGTTCGTGCACCAGTAACGAGCGCGTGATCACGTGGCTGAATGAAATATTTCGAACAATCGGAACAGACACACGAACACACGAAGACACTCTTGGCTGTGAGACCGGATGGGTGAATGGCGGGATACACATACGTGGTTATTAATATTTACTTGTATACTCACTCGACCGCCATTCGCTGAACGGAGCTGAGCAAGGCCACTTGCTGGGGAGAGGAGTTCGATTTCAGATAGCGGCATCACGGCATTACGATTTGAACGAAGCTAGCTTTAATAATGGATCAACGTGTCTCGAATTGACTGTCATGTGTTAACCACATACGCGCACACACATACATACCGAAATGCACACACGCACAAGCACACACATAATACAATTAAACCCACGCACACACTGACACACGCGCACACGCATGCACACTGAAACGTACTCGCGCACACCTGAAACACACACACTCACACACGTACACACTGAAACAGAGGCATACGCGTACAGACTAAAATACGAACACGCACACATACACAACGAAACACGTCCACACATACACAATTAAACGCACACACTCACACGTATATACACTGAAACACATATATACGTATACGTACTGAATCACGAACACACGCACATGCATACAAACCTACACATACATGCAATCTCATGCACACTGAAACACACACGCATACACTCTCATACACACTGAAACACACACACGTACACGCATACACATTGAAACGCACGCACGCATACAGTGATGCACACTGAAATACGCATACACATGTACAAGGAATGAGAGATACGCACATAAATACTTAGTGAAACATTCACAGACGCATACGCATTGAAATGTACATATGTACACAATGAAGCACACTCACACGCATACACACTGAAAAACACAGAGACACACAGTGAATTCTACACACGCATACACACTGAAACACACACACACGCACACATAGAAATCCACAAACGTATACAGTGAAACAAACACTGAAACACACTATCACACATATTCATATGGCGAAAAAGGGTACCACGACGTGGTGTAATGGTTAGAAAGCTTGTCTTGCTAGATCAGTTACGACTGAGTAGTGAGTTCGATCCTCACTGGGTACGCCATACATTCAGCCTTGTGCCACATCTAAGCCGGGCTTGGAAAATCACTTTATATTGCGAAAAATGCATTTTACACAAATTTCCCGAATGTAGATGTAATGTACACTGTTTAATAAACAAAAATTGGGCGTTTATTTCAAATACGAAGTGCCCACTATAAATTTGGACGTTATGTTTGAATAATAAAAATTATGTATTAAAAATAAGTAATAGAAGTTTACATTTTCGGATAGGAAATTGGGTAGATATGCATCTTTCGATAAAATAATCTAGGTGAAGAAGATGCGCTACTATATATATATATATATATATATATATATATATAGAGAGAGAGAGAGAGAGAGAGAGAGATGCATGTTTCATTAAACAAGAGCTTGCTTTTTTGGGCTCAGTGTGTAGAGACTGTTCAAATGTTCTGTAATTTCGAGCGCTTTCGGCTATACGTTTAGCCATTATTGAGTATGATTTCATTTTTTTTTTCAGTTTAATTGAGTGTGTGCGTTATGTGTATATTTTAGTATGTTTTATTTTCCGAACACGGTTAGCACATTGTGGCCGTGTTCGTAGTTAATATTGTTAAGAGTTAGCCTTTTCTTTTTTATTCTTAGGGCTTCC